CAAAAATTAGCCGGCATGGTGGCATGCACCTGTAGTCCCAGCTACTCAGGAGGCCGAGGAAGGAGAATTGCTTGAGCCCAGAAGGCAGAGTTTGCAATGAGCTGAGATTGTGCCACTGCACTCCAGCCTGAGCTGAGACTCCATCTCAAGAAAAAAAAAAAAAAAAAAAAAGATGTTCATAAAATTAAGGTGGTCAGAAAATGTTTGATTTGTTTGGTTTAGTAGAGATAAGGTCTGTGTTGATCAGGCTAGTCTCAAACTCCTGGCCTCAAGCAATTCTCCAGCCCTAGCCTCCCAAAGAGCTGGGTCTACAGGCATGCACCATGAGGCTTGGTCTAGAAAACTGTTCTAAAGGCTGGGCGTAGTGACTCATGCCTGTAACCCAAGTACTTTGGAGGCCAAGGCGGGCGGATCACCTGAGGTCGGGAGTTCAGCCTGACCAACATGGTGAAACCCTGTCTTAAAAAAAAAAAAAAAAGAGAGAGAGAAAGAAAACTGTTCTAAAATTTTAACTTATTTTTGTTTATTTATTTATTTTGAAACAAGGTCTCACTCTGTTGTCCATGTTGGAGAGCAGTGATATGACCATAACTCACAGCAGCCTCAACCTCCTGGGCTCAAGCCATCTTCCTGCCTCAGTCACCTAAATATGAATAGCTGGGATTATAGGGCCGGGTGCAGTGGCTCATGCCTGTAAATCCCAGCATTTTGGGAGGCCAAGGCAGGCGGATCATCTGAGGTTGTGTGTTCGAGTTCAGCTTGACCAACATGGAGAAACCCTGTCTCTACTAAAAGTACAAAATTAGCCAGGCATGGTGGTGCATGCCTGTAATCTCAGCTACGCGGGAGGCTGAGACAGGAGAATTGCTTGAACCCAAGAGGCAGAGGTTGCGGTGAGCCGAGATCGTGCCATTGCACTCCAGTCTGGGCAACAACAGTGAAACTCCATCTCAACAGAAAAAAAAAAAAAAAAAAATGCTGGGATTATAGGTATGAGCCACTGTGCCCAGCTAAAAATTAAACTTATTTTTTAAAATTAACACCTTCAAAGATGTGTATCTTAGGCCAGGCGTGATCATGCCACTATACTCCAGCCTGAGCAACAGAGCAAAACCCTGGCTCAAACAAAACAAAACAAAACAAAAAAGATGTCCATCTCCAGGGCATCTAGTGTTAAAGATTTAAAAAGGGCTTAGTGAAACAGAGTGCCCATGCCCCATGTCCAGAATTTCTGGTTTAGGAAGTTTAGGGCTAGAGAATTTAGATTTCTTTTTCTTTCTTTTCTTTTTTTTTTTTTTTTTTTCCGGAGTCTTGCACTCTGCTGCCCAGGCTGGAGTGCAGTAGAACAGTTTTGGCTCACTGCAACCTCCACCTCCTGGATTCAAGCGATTCTACTGCCTCAGCCTCCAGAGTAGCTGGGATTACAGTCACATGCCACCACATCCAGCTAAGTTTTGTATTTTTATTAGAGATGGGGTTTCACCATGTTGGCCAGGCTGGTCTCAAACGCCTGACCTCAGGTGATCCGCCTGCTTCGGCCTCCCAAAGTACTGGGATTACAGGTTCACACCACCATGCCCCGTGTGAACTCAAGGTTTAAAATGTTGTATTTGAACGGAGCGTAGAAAGTTACCACAAGACAAAAGTATGCCAGATTTCAGGGTCATTTATTATGCCGGCGACCACAGAGGACTCACGTCTCTCCAACCTGTGGTGGCAAAAGGAGGGTGCCATGATTTTTTATACCCGAAAAACCACCTTGGGAGTGGGGTGAGGGGCGGGGATGGGGATGAAAAGGCTTCAGACATTCCGAGGGCTAGTGGATTCTGTAAATTACCTCCTGGTAATTTACAGAGATAAGGGTGGGGGTCTCCGGACATTCCAAGGGCCAGGGGACTTTTGTCATTCCGTTTGTTACTTAAGTGGTTTACAGAAGTCAAGATAAACATTTGCGGTGGCTCAAGCCTGTAATCCCAGCACTTTGGGAGGCAGAGGCGGGTGGATCACGATGTCAAGAGATCGAGACCATCCTGGTCAACATGGTGAAACCCCGTCTCTACTAAAAATACAAAACATTAGCTGGGCATGGTGGCGCGTGCCTGTAATCCCAGCTACTCAGGAGGCTGAGGCAGGAGAATTGCCTGAACCCAGGAGGCGGAGGTTGCGGTGAGCCGAGATCGTGCCATTGCACTCCAGCTTGGGTAACAAGAGTGAAACTCCATCTCAAAAAAAAAAAAAATTTGTTTACACATTATCTGGTTAAGGTGGAAATCACAGACCTTAGTTACTTATTACAAGTCACAGGAGCCAGGATGGAACTAGCTTGGGCTGCTTAGTCTGGCAATTGCCGGTAAGCAAAGGCTAGCAATTCTGGCAGTTACTGATAAGAAAAGGTAAGCAGCTTTACATAGTGGCTAGTTTGCAAAGCAAACTAGCAGTTTTATTTACAGTAGCCAAGGCTAGCAGTTATTGTGAGGAGAATGGGGCAGCCATTTCAACTTATCTAAAAACAGTTTTGCATTTTATAAAATAGTTTTGCTCTGGTTCTGGCTCTAGGCCAGCACAATATCACAAAAACATTGACAAAATCTCATCCCAGCTGGTAGCATTTGGGGAATATTCCTTAGAAATGTTTGGGAGACCCTTTGAGAGTTCCTTCTAAGGAGGTAAGGAGCCCATCATCTGCTCTATGTTGCTCTCTATTCCCAGAGGATACTCATCTTGCCTCGTCCTATGGCTCAAAGACTTAGCAGCAAACTGGTGAGATAGCCCTAACTCAGAGCTGGCCCCCAGGGAGACCCAGTCTAATGAAGAAGTCAGAAAGTAAACAATTGCAAACAGGCTAGGCAACATAGTGAGACTCTGTATCTACCAAAAAAAAAAATTAGCTGAACATGGTGGCATGTGCCTGTGGTACTGTCAGAGGCATTTCAACCAGAGCCATTTCAAATAGGGACTGGGCCGGCCGGGCGCGGTGGCTCACGCCTGTAATTCCAGCACTTTGGGAGGCCGAGGCGGGTGGATCACGAGGTCAAGAGATCGAGACCATCCTGGTCAACATGGTGAAACCCCGTCTCTACTAAAAATACAAAAAATTAGCTGGGCATGGTGGCGCATGCCTGTAATCCCAGCGACTCAGGAGGCTGAGGCAGGAGAATTGCCTGAACCCAGGAGGCGGAGGTTGCGGTGAGCCGAGATTGCGCCATTGC